CGCTGTATCATGCACTGTAACAAACTCAAGAGAAATGAATATTCTCCCCAGTTACTTTGTTATCAAAAGCCGTTATGTGAAGCCAAAATTAAGTGTAAAAAAAGCCACCTTCATACCTTCCCAAAGACACCAGTTTATCAACAGTGTCTACTCCTGTGCCAAGGATGTTAAGTAAAGATTGTCCAGCTTCTGAATACAATAAGTCAAGAAATAAGGTGTCCTGTAACACTACTGGAGTCCTACAAGACAAAAAGAAAAAAACATAACAAACTGCTACAAACAAACTGAAAAAAACTGTGACTCACAGAACATCACCAACGTGGATTTGAGTGAAGGGAGGGGAAGAAGTCTGGAGAACTGTCAGCTAACAGTTTGTCTTGATACAGAGTTTTCTCTCAGTACTAGTTCAAATCTGGATATTCTCGCATCCAGGTTCTGTTTTAGCAAAAAAATGCAACTTAGTGATTGGTGATGAGGGAAATCAAACAGAAAGGTACTGTTGAAGATTATTACTGTCATAATAATTAGTGATGAGGATCCACAAGGATGTTGGGGCATGGTGCAAGCCTCTGAATCATTGGCAAAGAAAATGGTAGATATCACAGTACAGCTACACAAACCTTGACAGACACACACAACACACAAACCTTGACAAATCTGTGACATCCACCTCCATTGTTTCACTAGCTCCATCAGTTTTCTTTGGTTTAAAATGAAGGCCAAGAACAACATTGAACAACTGAAGACATCTTTTCCCTTGAAAACAAACAAGGCTTTAGCAAAATGTAAATTTAAGCATAACCAGAAACCTCTACCTTACATTTGAATCTCTATTTCATTTAAGGTTACTCTATACCTTTAGAGGTGTCTCGCGTCCAAGTGATGTAGCGCATCCAATTCAAACTGTAGATACCTAAGCCTCTACATCAAATTAAAGCTTAAAGAGCCGGCTATCAAACTATACCAAGAATTTTGAAATTAAATGAACTGTCAAATCTCTAAACGTGAGTGTCTAAATCACTTTTTGAGAGCTACCTGTGCAAGACATTTGCGAGAGGCCTAGGGAGTTATTTCAAAATCATATATCCTTACCACAAATGTATCCCCTCTGGAGACCTAATGGGATCTTTCCACTAGGGATTTAATACAGTTTTTTTTTCCTTTAGGTTGAGAGCCATAACAACTCTTGAGCATTGAATAAGGTAGCAGTGCAGCAATCAGAGGTGGTTTTGGTAACATTCAGCCACATGAAGGAGGAAATGATGATGTCACTGTAGTTATATTATTTTTTTGCCAAATGATTTTTAGGTTCTGCCATGTTTTTGTATAAATACATGTAATAATAACCCAATGCTACTAAAACCAGTCTAGCACACACTAATCATACCAATTTCCTCTCTGTCTTTAAGTCCAGTGAATCTCCACTTATGGAAACCAGTGAACACTTCTCTCATTACAAAGACAAGGCAAGCAGCAAGATCAAGAAAGCTGATTGGCTGATCGTCAGTGTCCTCAGCAACACTGATTCCATGGATCAGCTTTAGCAGTAAATTCAATGTCTCCATAGTAACAGGATAATATCCAACTGGTCTTTCTTTGGTGCTCAAAATTGCACCAAAGTTTCCAGGTGCTGTGCTGAGAAACCTGAGTAAGACAATCGACAATACGATTGGACAAGGTTAAGCAAAGTACGTGATTTGCCAGTGGTGAGCAAATACCTTCGGCTTTGGCAAATAATTGATCTGCAAGACACTGACAAATCATGATATTTTAAACTACCAGACCGGTACCTAGACCAGTCTTCCAGTGTTAAATATTTAGGACTCATTATTGATTGCTCACTGTCTTGGGACGACCATATCGATTATATAAGTAATAAAATTAGCAAAAGTGTAAATGTTATTGCAAAACTAAAACCCTATGTGACATCCCAATCCCTAACAAGTATTT